CCTCACCTCTTGTCAAAATGTCAAGTAAAGACAACATCACACCCCAGAGCTGCTAAACCAAAGCACCACAGCCATAATTTTTAATGCAAACACACTGACCTAAGAGAGAGGCATGTGGTTCATTTTGGAGCGTTCAGACTTCAGCTCTTTCAGCCCATGTATCCTTACAAAGGAATAGGGAGATGCCCTGTAACTATTCTCTCCTTCTGTCAGTAACCCAGAGATCTCTCAATCTCATGGTTCAGAGCCACGAGGCTCTGTTCATTGTAGGTGGTATTCCTTAGGAGCACAGAGCAGTGCTCTGCACAGGCCATGTGGTTGCTCTCAGTATTCATCTGGGAACTAACAAAGTCAATCGTTCCCACTTCAAGTCAGATTTTAATTTGTCTGGAGTCCTGCCCAAACTTCTGCCTTTGGAATTAGCTGTGGGAGCAGTAATGTGAATACAGCAACTGGAAAGATGGATAAGAGAAGTGAATACAACAACTGGAAGGATGGGTGAGAGAATATCAATGACCACAAATTTAACAGCACACAGCAGGATTTGCAAGAGCTGAAACAACTAGAACCAGCTTTGGCCAAGCATTCCTTGGCAAGAGAAGTTTTGAACAGTGATCCATCTATCCTGCCTTGGTTCTCTAGTGTGCTGAACAACTGCTGTCTCAAAGGAGTCACCCAGAGCCACTAGACATTTGGAAAAATCTGAATTTGTTCAAAATTATTAGGTATGACAACCTTCAACATCCTCACTTTTTTCATATGCAATTTCACAGCAACACTCCAGTCCTGTCTGTCAGGGTAGGAAGAGGTATGAAAGTCAGATAACTCCTTTAACTTGCAGTAGATTACATCAATAATTCTCTTCCTGCTTCAGTAACTACTGGAATCTTTGAGGTTCCATGCAACATTAGGGTGGAACAGCAACATTCCATAGAATTTAGCTGAAAGAAACTTTGCTGCTTCCAAGGTCCTCTAGTAGAAAACAATGATGGTTAATCTTTTATTTTACATCTCACTAGCCATTGTATAGTCTGCACAAAATTTCTGAAAAAGCGGTATCTTGAAATGTTCATAATAATAGATGCAGGTTGTACATGAGAGACTACAAGACAGAAAGGTCTGTCACCTGCTCCTGTTTCTGTTTTGTTAAATGCCCTATCCTGAAGCGTTTTAGGTGCTAAAAAGTGAGGGAAATTGGACTATAGCAGAGATAATGGATTTTCATGGATTTTGTAATCCCTGCTTTCCAAAAAGGAAGCAGGGTGATGGAAGACGAAAAGCAATGAAGAGTTCCCAAAAGATAAATTCTCAGCCCATGGGCTACAGTGTGGTCAGTGTATCTGTGCTGGCTCCTTGTCCTGCACGGTAACCACCAGGTACCTTATCTTCTCTGAGGACAGATCTAATTTGTGTTTTCTTCCCAGTCCACCTCACAGCAACTTTTCTCTGTTGCCACATACTGAGTCATCTAGCCAAAATCACATGAGGTATCCCTTAACAGTAGCTATTATTAAAGACTAGACATGTTGTTTGGATGCAGGTAAGATTTTCTAAGGATCTTGGTGATGAAAGATACTAAAAGCAGGTTTGGTATAATGAAAACCATCCTTGGATTATCAGTGATAGGTGACAGCATCTGATGCTTTCATGGCACTGAGATCATCAAATATCACACTTTGTTAACATTTTGAATGGAGGGCAGTGGGGTTTCTAGGGTTTCTTGCTAGCATGCTGCCCTTTAATAACTCTTCTGCTTTCCATCTGATTAGACTTTACATTGGGGCTCAGGGGACAACTCACTGCAGTATTTCTGTCCATGGTGAAGACTGTGACATAAATTGTGCTGTGTCAGAAATACTCTTCCAAACTTCAGGAAAATGCACCTCAAGGATTTCTTAGCCACTTGTGCTGTCCTTACATTGAGTAGGCCTTACAGTTTTTTATTCTCTGAATCTGTCTTTTTTGCTTTGAACTACAAAACTATTGAAAATCTGTAATCATGAGCAATTAGATTGCTCAGGTATTGTGTATGACCCATCACAGAGGCAGAGGTAGTACAAATGGGCTTTGAAGTCCCAGAGCATGAAGACACCTAAGATTGATGCTTGAATGGGACAGAAATAAGCTGTGCAACCAGACAAAAAATTATTCATGCCTTATTGATGGATTGTCATGTTCCACTTACAACCACTTGCAATTTTCATTCAAACAAAAATGCCCTGGAACTGTTTTGATGTAACTTCTGTGTCTATCCATAGAAGATAGAACTTCTATGTCTATCCACAGGCAATCGCTTGAAGTTCTATGACTAGTTTTCTCCCAAGTGGAAATAATCTGGGATTCTTTGGGTTTGTTGGTTTTTCTTTTTTGTTTTTCCTGACAAATGTCTAGTTTTGACTTTACCAAGCACATCTGCTCTTACTGTATGCTGCACTGTGCAAATGGGCATGACACCCTATGTCTCCCAGGTCTGATGTCCTTCAAGAAGATACCTAACATCTGGCCAACTGTTGCACCAATAGTTTTTTTAGTGCACAAATATCTGCTCTCAGTGAGCCCATATAATGTGGATTAATCCAGGGCAGACAGCCTGGGATGATACTACCTGTTTCAGCTGTGAAGGCTGCTTGCCAAAAATACTTTATTTGGTTGTATTGGCTGTGTCAGTCAGAGTTTAATGGCACCTCATGGTAAGGGACAATCTTAGAGAATGTCAGACATGAAATACAGAACTGGGTGTGCTCCCTCAGGCCCAACCAAAAAGATTTGCTGCTACCAGTAAAGCTGTTTACATCTGCTGGTTGCATAAAGCTTCTTTAGTGAAGTCACTGAGGTACTGCTCAGTGCAAAAGGTGATGAGTCAAGGTGTTCTGCATAGACAACTTCAGGATCATCAGGTTTTCTGGCAGAAACTCCACAGGAGGCCTTCATTGTACAAAATGTTACGTTCAAATGGAAATATGCTTCCAAATACCACCACAAAAGGTGAAGACTGGGAGTAAGCAAATAAATCTCCTGGTTATAAAGCAAATGGAGGAGGATCAATGTTTTACTTCTCTGGAGTGGAGCTCAAGCAGCTGCTACAAGGATGATTTGGGAACAAAACCAATCCCATAGCCACCTGTTGCTTAAGTGAAAGACGTTGTATCCCTGCAAGAAAAATGCCCCACAAAAGAGTGGAGGATCTGTTGTCTTCAAACTGCCTTGCTACCATACGTGGTGAGACCATGACCCTCATTTTGTTTTCACTTTGCTTCACCTATTAATATTACTGGGAGCAGGGAACATGGAAAATGAAAATATCCTTTTTAAGCTTAGTGCAGACTAAGAAAAAGCAAAATTGGCCAGATCCCAAGGTACCACTCCTAAAACAATAAGCAAGCATGACAAATAGCAAGCTTTTTCATTTAGAAAACATTAATGCCATTGTTATTAAATTTATGGTCAGATAAAATCTCTGTTCAGATACTACCAATTATGTGTGATATGCTATGAAGGGAGGATCCAAATTTTTTAGCTCAATCGCAGAAGCAATAGCTGAACTGAACAACATATTTATGGACCTATATAGTCTAGACTTGTTATCTCACCCTCTTCCCACTTCCCCCACCATTTTGCCAATCTTCATCTGGCCAATAAATACATGGGAACCAAATTCTGACAGAGTTAATTACCTCTAATTGTGCCCCTCTTGTTATCTTACCAGTTTTGACTAACCATAAATTGCTCTGATACAGATGTTGGCAAGATAAGAACCCTAGACTCCCTCCATATGTACAATATGTTTGTATTTATTTATTTATGTATCTGAGCATGTCAGATATGCTGCTGTGGTAGCCTGGATCAGTTATTTCATGACTGCTAGGGTTGCACAGCTGACTGGCTGTGCTTGCTGCCTTGGGGGCAGGCACAGACATGGAATTCCTGCCCTCTGCTGCCTGCTCCAGCCCAGGGCTTTGGGGAGACACTTTCAGTCATGACCTAACAAAGTCTGGGTTAATAAGAATCAGGGGAGGATCAAGGGAGTAGCATTGCTAGGATGACATAGTGCTTCACCAGAGGCCAGTGCACAGTATGCTGGAATGAAAAATAGTTAAGGTATCAATAAATAAAACATAAAAATTTAGGTTGGCTGCGGAAATGACACAATTTATCTTTTGGCATTTCTATTTCTGACATCTAGAGGCAAACCTGATGCCTGAAACATCAGGAAAGATATTGAGCAAGGCGTGATTCAAAATGAATTTCTGACTCTGAAAGGCATTTTTAATCAGTTAGGTTCCAGGGTCCTGGCTTATATAAATGTAAGAATGCTATTCACCTCCCTTGCAAAAAAAAAGGGGGGAAAAAAAAAGCCCACAACAAAAACACCCTAAGGGATTGCAATAAAAACCCAAATACATTAAACCCAGTAAAGATGGTGAGGTGGGGGGATGGAAATTAAAAGAAAATAGTACTATTGTCAGGAAATTGATTCCAGGGAAGTATACATTTTTTTGGTCAGGTAAAGGTTGATTTTTGGTTGAACTTTGTGTCTGAAAAATTACAGTGAGATGGTTTGCATTGGTGGGGGTAGGAAGTATTTTTTTTTTGTCTCTGAGTTGTGTTTGTACATCTCAAACTCTCCTTCATCTCTTACTTTTCAATGGAGTTGCACAACCCTTTCAGCAGCCTCTCCCCAGGACTGAACACTGCTCTACAGCATGGAAATCCAAGCTCAATGACAGCAAATGTGGAAGTTACAAAAAGTTTGAGATAATGAGAGACTTTCCTTGAGGAGAAAACACTGGGTCACCTGCAAAACTGAGATTTGATGTGCATTCTCAGTTCTCACTGCCCTCAGACATTTATTAGTGTGATTTTCCTTCAGGTTATGGTCATTCTCTCTACTCCTCCAAACTCTGCCTCCTTGCACAGAGGCAGTGTACACACTGTACAACATGAACAATCTTTTGTTGTTGCCATTTCTAACATTTTCCTTCTGTATTTCTGTGTTGCAGATGTGGATGAATGTGCTTCAGATTCTCACCAGTGTAATCCCACCCAGATCTGCATAAATACTGAAGGGGGCTATACCTGTTCCTGCACTGAAGGCTACTGGCTGTTAGAAGGCCAGTGTTTAGGTAAAATCCTCAATTGCTACAGTAGCTGAGTATCTTGTACCTGGGGCTCCCTGAATTAAAGTCACTAAGCACTTTTGCCAAGGACACAGTTAAGCCTTCAGCTGTGTGGAAACTCTTGTCTCTGAAAGTGCCAATGAGGTGTTTGGCAGAGAGACTCCCCCATGGAACAAAACTGTACCTGGAAATGCCATATGACTAGCATCATAGTAGTGTCATAACTGCGCTTTTCATATTTCACGTCTGAAGGATTCCCTTTCATGTAAGATCAATTGCAAGCATGTGTGCACAAAGATTTTTGCCCAAACAGACTTGTGCTTTTTTTATTGTGACAGTGTGGACCTGAAGGGATCCATATCTGATACCAAGAAATGGGAATGACAGTAACTCCCAAGCCAGCCAATTCTTTTGTTTGGGGGTGAGAAAAAAATTACCTCTAAACTGGGTGCCATTTCATAATCTTCCATGCAGTTTTATTTCAATTTTATTATTTCGTTGCAGCAATACCCTGTTCATCCTTTTAGCTCAGTCCTGTTGAAAAAACATTGCTCAGCAAACAGCACAGGAAAACAAAGCTTCCATCCCTCCTCTCCTCCAGCCCTTTCCCCTCACTTGACATACACATGGGATGATGATGTAGATGTTAATTTTAGGTACACAGGTAGGACCTAGGAGTCAGCATACAACATTTTTTAAAGAAAATTTAGCCATGATTAGTTCTTTCCCTGCAGTGCAGGCTGTTTGGTGCCAGCTCTGCAGAGCTGGACCATCCTCTCACATCTCCACTGGAAGGAGAATGGGCTTTCCCTGCCCATTTGTCCCTGGAGCATCTCCAGTTATTTTCCAGCTTTCTCCTCCCAAGTACCAATTCCATGAATTCCTGGCTGCTTTCCTAACTGCTGCTGTGAAATTCACCTGGCAGGCACCAGGCTGAGCCCCGTCCAAGCTGGGGTCTGTGCAGCCACAGCCTCCTCAGGGAGTCACTGTCTTGCAGTTCCCCTGGGATAAAAGGTCTCCAAGGCCCCTGCTCCTTAGTCTGTGATAAATGAACTTCTCAAAGCTTGTGCTGGCAAATGTACTGGCATGTGTGGTAGGATGGGGATGAGGGAGGGAAGGAAGGCAGACTCTGCTCTGCATCACCTGTTCTGTTACCCATTTACTTCTCCCAGTTACAGGCCAAATGAAAGGGTTGGGTTCAGCATTCAGGATTTGAACACAGATCTAAAATACTCTTCTGCTTGATGGTTATAGCAGAGAACTGAAATGGCTGCATTGATGAATTGATTTGAGTATAGATAGCATAAGCAATTATGCTATCTAAAATAGGGAATAACATCCCAGTATTGCCCTAATTAAGTAATCATGGGGTGGATAATTGCAAGGCAATGTGAAAAAGGAAAATAAAATTGTGTTTAGAATTGCTATATTTTCCCCTAAATTTCAAAGAAGTCTCAGTTTTCCATACTTTATACTGGCTTTGGAGAAGTGATCTTTGCTGCCATAAAGCAGTAAAGCAATACTTACTGTAATCAGAGAGCCAAGTTTGGGTTTAGAGACAAATTTTTTTGGGGCACTGTTATTAGTGCAGTGGAATTCAGTGAAATTACCAATTACTTTTGGTAAATCACCATTACAAAAACCTACACTTCTATCTGTTGCAATTATCCTGTACAGTTTACACGGAGAAGCCAGTGCAGCATATCCACATGACCCACCCACAAGAAGCAGCCCTGTACAAGTCCTTATCCTCAAAATGTAGCACTCTTGAGATAGCAGTCCTGAAAAGACAAACCATGAACTTCATGTAATGCATTGTGCCAGTGAATGAGGTATTAATTTACTTAAAACCCTTGTTATTTTTGCAGGATTTGTTGCAGCCTGCTGCTGGTGTACTCATCACCACTGATCTGACCTTTAAGTTATCTTACTGTCTGCATATAATATACTGGGTTTTCTATTGCATAAATTTAGCTTCAAAGCTTTAACACAGCCATTTAAAAAATCTCAATAATCAAAAGCCATTTGATACCAAAGGAAATGTTAAGGCTTTGAAAAGACAGCCATTCCAGGTGTTTCCTTTTAGCTTTTAGTTCTGAGGCAAAAATCTTCTAGCACTTACCATGTTACATATCTTAGAGCATTTTCTTGTGCTCATAGCACTCAGTTGCATGCACTGCCAATGCTGCAATTCAGCCCAAACTGCTATTTTGGCATTAAACTAACTGTTTACACAGTCTGTAATTTGTCAGTTAAAAATTCATATAAAAAGAGAATGTGAATATTTGGAAAAAAATCTTCCAAAAATATTCTCACTCAAAAAAGAAGCCTGTAGTAACAAACACTGTTGTTCCAGTGAGCAGCTTTGGTACATGTGGAGGCAAAGAAGGTTTCTATTTTGATTCTGCCAAAATTTCGCTGCAATGCTGGCTGTGGTTGTGCTGGCAGCCAGGTATCCTTTGAGGGAGCTGCTTAAAGGAACAAACTGGGCTGCCTGATTTAAACTGGAGGTTACAGCAATGCCAATCAATTCATCAGACACACTGGTAGATGCCAGATGTGGATAACACCACATTACCACATTCTACTGGGGACAGGTATATTTCAACTCTAACTCCATGTCTGAGCGCCTGGAAGTTTGGCTGTGACACCATGACCAGTGTGCTGGAGTATTTCTGTGTTATCAGCGCTGCTGGCTCAGTGTGCTGCCTGCTTTGTCTGCCATGAGGAGATGCAGAGCACTCCAGTTCCCCTCCTTTTCCCCGCAGACATAGACGAATGTCGCTATGGGTACTGCCAGCAGCTGTGTGCCAACGTGCCCGGCTCCTACTCCTGCACCTGCAACCCCGGCTTCACCCTCAACGACGACGGGAGATCCTGCCAAGGTAAGGGTAGGCTGAACCAGGCCTGAAATCAAAGGTAGGGGTATGGTGAACCAGGCCTGAAATCGTTGGTGCCCCCTCAGCCACACCCTTAAGACTTGCTTGGTTTTTAGAGCACAAGTGACCTTCCCAGCATTGCTTTTAGAAATGGTCACAGGTTGGTCAGAGAAATATTTCTGCAGTTTCACAGTACCTCAAAGGGGTGCAGGTGCAACAGCACTGGTGTATCAGGAGAAATATGCACAGAGACCCAAACCTCAATTCAGTGGAATTACCAAGTGTTTAGGCACTGAATTTATTATTAAAACCTGAGGTTGTTGACCCAGCTGAGACAGGAAACCCTTGTCAGATCAGTATATTGGACTCTCCCATGATCCAGACTAGCATCCTAAGCATTAGACCACCTTTGGCTGTGCTGTGCCACCTCAAAGTCAACACAACCCCTTCAGAGTCTCTCCCTAGCAAAGCAGAGAGCATCTTCCCACATGCTGCAGGAGAAGGTCTGAGCTCATGATGACCAGAAGTTGTTAATGTCCTACAAGGGAAAGAAAGACTGCCTTAGCCCAAGGTTTCCATAAGGACCCCTTATCATTGCCTTATCTTTCTCAGGAAAATCCTGCTGCTTTTTTCTCAGATCTGTTATGATAATATTGGTTCAATGGTTTTCAAATTGCAGGACAAGGACAGAAACAATTATGATAAAAATTTCATCCCCATCTTCCACGTTATGTTTTAATTGAAGTCATTCCCAAAATGCTTCACTTCCACACATGTTGTGTCCAACATGCTATTCCCAGGCATCAACAAATAAACATCCCAATAAACAACACTGACCTGGTTATATTTTTTCAGAACAAATTGTTCTGACTGTACAGCTAATCTCTTTGAAATGCTCTGCAGAAAAAAAAATGAAAATGGAGTTTGGGGAGAAGTCGCTGATGAATTTGGCATTGTTTTCCCATAGATGTGAATGAATGTACAAGTGAAAACCCTTGCACTCAGACCTGTGTCAACACCTATGGCTCTTTTCTCTGCCGCTGTGAACCTGGCTATGAACTGGAAGCTGATGGAGTTAACTGCAGTGGTAACTCTCTTATTTACTCTTTTGCTTTCTTTAATTCTATTACATTTACTTTTTCAAAGGCATTGTTTTTACAAACTTTCTTAAAAGTTTTTTGCCTTGGTCCATGGTAGCATCAGGATAGCTGCAACTCATATGTGACAGTGTTCACAGGAGATCTTGGATGAGGGAAGAGATGAGGATCTGACTCCATGTTTCAGAAGGCTTGATTTATTATTTAATGATATACATTACATTAAAACTATACTAAAAGAAAAGAAGAAAAGGTTTTATCAGAAGGCTTAGCTAAGAATAGAAAAGAATGATAAGAAAGGTTTGTGGCTCAGAGAGCCCGAGCCAGCTGGGCTGTGATTGACCATTAATTACAAACAGCTCTATGAGCCCAATCACAGATGCACCTGTTGCATTCCACAGCAGCAGATAATCATTGTTTACATTTTGTTCCTGAGGCCTCTCAGCTTCTCAGGAGGAAAGATCCTAAGGAAAGGATTTTTCCTGAAAGATGTCTGCGACACTCATATGATCTTCTTTCCACCTAAAGCACTCAACAAATACCCAGGAAAACTCCGTGGAGGAGGGCCACAAATGGTTTTAAAGAAATAAGCTAAATATTCAAAAGCTCCAAGATAACAGCAAAAGATAAGAAAGCACTCTGTAATGCTGAACAGGAAGCTTTATTAGAGCAAGTAGAGATAGCCTGAGGACATTCTTCCATGATTAAAGAAATAGTTTATAGAAAGCACTTTTCCATTTGTCTGTTGAATGCATGTATTTCCCTTGCTCTTAAGGACTGCTCACTTCTGCCTGAAACTTTCCCCAGTTTCCCCTGTATGCCTCTGGCTTCACTTTAAAAACAATATATGATTTCTTAGTACAGTTGTTGCTGACCTGTTCAGCACACAGCAGAATAAATTGTGCTTATGTCACTGTAATTTTTCCTTTCTGGATTTTGTTTTTATTGTATTATTTTATTTTAATTGAAGGCAAAACTTATTTCTTTGCTTATTGTACTATCAGCCTGATAAAATTAGAAAATTCAGCCAATATGTCTTGGAAAAATGCACTGGAAAATACTTGAGTTTTAATTTACAGTAAACAGATGTAATATGCTGTTTCTGAGAGAGAAGACATATGATATGCAGTGTATACGATTAGTGTTTCCCAAGATATTTTCCCTGCAAATCTCTATGTTATAAGGGGAAGAACAAATGTTAAATATCTAAAGGATCTTAAGATTTAAACACCTAACTTAGTGTCTTGCATTCTGATGGATTTTTCTCTTCTAAGTTAGACTCCTGAATGTTTTGTATGTGTTCACCTCCTGAGCTACCTGGAGGTCTGAACCAGATAAGTTCATTTCAATGCCCGATAAGGTGGTGCTTGAGCCTCATCCATGCGTGAGAGCTGAGCCAGCAAAAGGGCCTTTGCACCATCCAGCAGAAAATCTTTTCCTGACAATCTTGTGCAAGAGATGTTTGACAAAGCAGGTCAAGTTTCTCTGGATGAGCTTCTTCCACTCCACAGCAATCGCTGGACATCTGAGGCTTGCAAAGGTCAGGGGGACACTCTTGAGAGACACCCAGGATTCAGATTTATTTCAATAGGAGTGGGGTTAGTCCATGGCCTAGCAGCCAACTTACCTCAAAGCTGGAAGGCATTCTTGCCCCAGTTTAAGGAGAGAGGCAGAGATTTCAACCTGGCTTTCCCAACATCATTATTTCCTAATCACAGAGGTCTTCCAAGTGCATTAGATGTGCTCCAAAATGACAACCACCCTGTTGTGTGCACACAGGCAGCCAGGAGAATGCCAGGAGTGTTTAGGAACACTGTGGGGCCAAGAGCAGGAATGCAGGGCTCTTGGGGCTCCAAGTCCCTCAGGACCTGACAGCAGCCAAGCACCAGTTACACAAATCCAGCATGCTGGAGGTCTGGGCTAGGATGCCAGAGGACGCCTGATATAAAGTGCCTGATATTTCAGCCACTTTATGGAGTCAGCCCTCAGTCCATGGAGCTTCAGGAAGGTGTTTGTTTCCAAAAACTCACTGGGGAAACTCACACAGTAACAGGACTCTGTAGGTGTAGAGTTCCTTTCATCTCCCTTTTGAGAATCTGATTTCAGCCCTAAAGCCACTTGGATATATTTGGACTTCAAATACTTTCCAATCCATTTGCACAAAACACCAGAAGTGAATAAATGGACTGAGCCCAATTCAGAAGAAAGGGAAATTCAGTCTGAAGAGTAAAAGTGATTTGCCTGGGAGAGTCAACATGTCAGAGCAGGGAATAAGAACTTGGGAGTTCCTGGCTGAGGCCCTGGCCTTTGTTTCTTTCTTCCCCTGAACAGGGAAATAAGGAAATGATTAGTGGCAGCCTCCCTCGGCCTCGTGCCTTTGCGTGTGTTTCCCCTCAGTCAGCCATGGCTCCATGTGCAGCTCTGAAGTTCATCTTTCTCACTTGAGCACAGCCCTGCAGAACACAACGACTGGTCAATTCATGAGAGCAAGGGGCAAAGAGCTCAGTTTCTGCTTTCAGTCAGTGTTTGACAGACTGCCTGGCCTCCCATGTATCTGGGAGAGGGCTGGACCTTGCAGTGTGTCTGACCCAGGCTGGGATGTGCTCTTGGAGTCTTGCTGGAATGACTTGGAAGTAACTGACTGGAGGCTAAAAGATATGAAACAGACAGGGCTGGCTGCAGGAGTTCTGCTGGAACCCATGTGGCTGGAACCCTGGGAACGTGAAGCTTGTTCTCCAAAAGAAGGGGAAAAAAAAAGAAAACAAAACTGCTGCCAGGTCTTTCCTTTTAAATTACAGTTGCAGCTTTGTTGTCAGAGTATCTATCTCTGACGTAAAACAGGAATGAAAACATGGCCAAGTGGTGACAGGTATTAGAAAAGAAAAATAAATAATTAAAAGCCATACATTGTGTTCAGCAGCAGCTTTGATTTCCTTAGGAAAAAAGTGTTTAATGAAGAACTTGTTGTATAGCATTTTGTCAGGTTGCTGCAGAGCTCTAGGGAGCTGGAGAGTGCCAGCCTCCAGCTGAGGTAATGGGCAGGCAGTCTGGGTGGCCACCTGCCTGCAGGACTGCTCTTTTGACAGTAAAGCCAAGGACACTAAACTTTGGTATTTGTTTTCCCACCGCAGACATGGATGAGTGCAGCTTCTCAGAGTTCCTCTGCCAGCACGAATGTGTGAACGGGCCTGGTTCTTACTACTGTACCTGTCCTTCAGGATATAACTTGCTTGATGACAGTAGAAGCTGCCAAGGTAACATTTCTGCACTGATTAAACCCATGGGGACCAGAAAGTAGATCCTGTGTCTAGAAAGAGGTTTTCAAGAACTTGGTCTTGGCATTGCACAGTGAAATACTCGTGGGGGCCAATTATGCCCTTCTGGTAAGGATGTCAGCACGTGAATATTCCTGCTGAGGTGAACTGGTGTGTTGTTTTAAGTAAGACTTTACTGGCTAGGAAACAGCTACACAGGAAAGACCTCAAATGCTCTTCCCTCTGCTGTACATCTCTACTTTTCCCCTTCTCTAAGGTTGGAGAGTTTGAGCAGCCAATTCCCTTTTTTTTTTTTCCCCCAGCATTCAGCATGTGGGAGCACTCTAATTAGCAGAAGTGAATGGAGTAAAAACTGATCTTAAAAGAGGGGACAGTTACAAAAAGCCCACCTCTCACAGTGCAAGAGTTTTATGAATTTTGGGGTAATTCTTTGGGATGGAAATCAGTTTGTAGCAATGGTATCTTGTACATATTTCCCTGTTTCAGCCATTCTCTCATTCCTTGTGTTTTAGATATCAATGAATGTGAAATCAGAAACTTCACCTGCACTTCACAGCAAACATGTTTCAATATCCCAGGAGAATATAAATGTTTAGATCCAGTACGATGTGAGGAGCCTTATCTCCAGATTAATGAGAAGTGAGTAACATACCCACAGCCACAAAAGCAAATTCTGTCTGTGAAAGCTGTATCTAAGGTAAACCAAAGAAGCTGTAATTTTACACTACAGCCATGAACTCTGTCTGTAAGTCAGATGTATGTGAAGTTAGACTGGAAAAATAGCTATCAGTTAGTTAGAAAACAGCGAGGCTTGTGATGTAATAAGAAACATTTACTTACATTACTGACTTCATATATGCTCAAATGCAGCCTGTTTATTACTAGGAATATTTCCTGCAAATGGTGACTAGTTTATGCCTAGGAAGTACTTTAAAATATTAGATGACATTTGGAGTTTCTTATTGCTTAAAGGTTAAAAGTTCTGAATAGTTTACAAACTAAAGTTCACTGACCATGCCCAGAAATTGGGTATGTCTGGATGAAGTTGTTAGTACTGTCTCAACTGGGAAACATTTGAGCAAGCAAACAATAAACCTTAAATTTCTTAAAATAGACTGTTTCTTTCACATCTGTATGTATTTGCTGGGGCTCAAAATATTTCAATTCCAGACAGATATCAATATACTGCAGTCCACATTATTTCATCCACAATGTTTGCACTAAACCAAATAACCTGGAATTGCTTAGTAGCCTAATACATTTTATAGAAAGTCAAGAGATTAGCAATTAGCTTCTTTCCTTTAGAATTTATGACTGTATTTGCATTGTTTTCTGAACTAGGGCAGCTGAAGAGTGGACACATAGTGTTTGTCTAGTTCTGGGTTCTCCTCCCTTGGTGATAGAGTCTTAAACTGGAATTTGAAATAACTGAATCCTCTGTATCTAAATTCCGAGAGCCCAGCTACAGAGTCCTTGCAGAGCAGCTTGCATCAGAACACAATCTCTGAGCTTTGTGTTTGGTGGCTTTGGTTCATCTCTAGATGGGCCTGCTCTTAATTAGTGACATATGTCCAGAAGTGGTCAGTGTAAAATTGCCAAGTGAATTCCTGGCATCTGTGTTTTCTGTGGAAGGAATTGGGTGATCATAATGCCAGGAGCCTCTTGATGGGGGACATGCCAGATGCACTGTCTGAAATTGATGTCAGCAGTAGAGGTTATAGAAAAAATAGAAAAAATAGTTAAAACACCCTTGCCCAGTAAATTCTCCCAACATTACTTTTATAAAGAGATATCCTGCTTTACAACTTCCTTAGAGTTCTCTGAAGAAATCAGCAGCATATGGCTAGGGCACAGGAACTGATGCAGTCTGTTTGCATTTCCAAAGGCTTCTGAAAAGACCCTCACATAGTTATCATGGAAGTTAAGCAGTCATAAGTAACAGAGAAAAGTCCCTGGAACAGAAGAATAAAAAGCTGAAAGATAAAAATTAAACAGAGGATAGTGTTAAATTGTCAACTTTCATGAATTTCTGCAGAGGAAATTTCTGAGCTGGACCTACTTGGTCCATCATAAACAACCTGGGGAAAAGAATAAACCATGAGCTGGGCAAAGTCTGCAACAATATGTGAAGATAGCAGATAAAAGTGGGTAGAAAAATACTACAGAATATGCCTCAATGACTGTGCAATGAAAATGGCAGATTAAATTCGGTGTAGATGAATTTAAAGTAAAAAGAAAATCCCAAATTCACAAATTAAATAAGGACCACTGATCTGATCATAATCCATGCAAAGTGAGATTTGAGGGTTCTTGTTCCATGATCTGCAGTACTCACTAGAGGTCAGAAAAGCAATCTGAGTTCCAAATGTTAACAGGTAGAGAATATCCTTGAAGCACATACTATTGTGTACCACATCTTTAAGACTGTGCAGGTCCTTTCCCTCCTGTCAAAGAAATACAACTGGATAAAGGTTCATAGGAAGTAATGAGATGATCAAAAGTACGGAATAACTTCCTTGTGAGTAACAGCCAAAGTAGAGCAGTTCAGCCATGAACAGGATCAGATATGAAGCCCTGAGATGGGTGAGGAGGATGAGCAGGGATTGACTGGCTGCTCTCCTTTCAGGTGAGCAGCTGGGAGCACCAGCTAAAGTCAGAAAGAGGCCATGCAAAGAGAGATGAAAGGGGCTGTGGGGCTCCTGGCCACAGGGGGCTGTGCATGCCAAACATTCATGTGGGAAGCTGGAAAAGCTGATGATAAGAAATGCATTGATAGCTGATGAATAGAAAGAAGAAATTTTTGTTTCAGGGGTTCCCTGAGTCACAAACAATTGGAGACTGTTGGTGAAAATGTTGTATGCTTGTCATATCCTCTTCTTCCTTAAGGCTGTGCATTTGATGTTAGAGCTTTGGCTTGATCCAGGATGTCAACTGTGTGTTTTCATGTAGTGCCCAAAATATAATGAAACAAAAATCACTACTGTTTATGCAGTACTACCAGTGAAATTATCTAATAATATTCTGGGGACAGTTCAGTATAAATTACTAACAGAATAAACATGTACAGAGTATTCCACACCTGCAGAGCTGCTTCAAAGAAAGTTCACATTTTTGAGTGATCTAAGGAGAATGGCAAATTATTTTTGCCAAGAAGACAAGAAAAAGGAGGCAGGACGTAAGCCAGAACAGCAACAAAGAAAATGCTAAAAGTGAGAAAATGCATTACAAGTTTCATTGATTCTTTTAGCTGGTTAATGACATTATTTGTTTGTTTATTTATTTATGCACATTTATTTATATAAATAATCAAATATTACAGCAATTTGTAACCCCTGCTGGCAATTCTATCTCTGACAATCCTCTCTCTGACCACCAGCCGCTGCATGTGTCCAGCTGAAAACCCTGGGTGCCGAGATCAGCCCTTCACCATCCTGTACAGAGTGATGGATATGGTGTCTGGGAGGTCTGTGCCTTCGGATATTTTTCAGATGCAAGCAACAACTCGCTACCCTGGAGCCTATTACATCTTCCAAATCAAGTCAGGGAACGAGGGCAGGGAATTCTACATGCGGGTAAGTCCAGTGCTCCCTGGGGGAGACATGGAGCATCTTGTTGTTGGCATGTCCTGGTGGCACAACTGAGCTTCTCGTGACTGCCACTTAAACCTTCAGTATGAGGCATTTTTTTACACACAGATGTGCACAGCAGTGTGCTGATGTGCAGGAACTGCTGGATCTCTCTGGAGAGTAACCTACCCAAAGCAAACATGCCTCTCCTATGAGACAGCAGGTTTAGGAAAGCCCAGAGCTGTACCCATGTCTAAGAATAGCTCAGGTTTCCCAAGCTCAAGAGAAACTATTGTGCCAAACTCTTTTTTATTTGATGGACAATCAAAACTGTCACCAAAAGACTCAATGTTTCTTTTCTGTTTTATTAAACCTTTTCATTGGAAATTGAAAAACGTGAAAACCAAAAAAGTAAGCAAAAAACCCTTTATGCCAACAATTTACTTTCTGGGTTCTTTGCTTTCATTTGTTATGAATTTTTTCCACTGAGAACATACATTTTTTATAGACACTGTTACAGAAAATGTAATTACCTGAGGTTTTTTAATTTGTTTTTCTCAGAAGATCTCTGTGTTCCCCAGTCATCTTTGCCACACCACCAACATGTAGAGATTACAGGGGTGTCTGCAGAGAATGGGGCACATCCACAAGGGATGGTGACTCTCAGGAGGTTGATTTTCAGCTCCAGGCAAAACCTGGCTCTGACATTCACATTAAGTCCTGTTCTGTGGCTACTGAAGGTTCCCATCCCTCATGGACAGGGGTAGTGGGATAGATTCCAGGACATATTTCTCACAAGAGCCTCAGATTCCCACTGTAAGAAAATTAAAATGTTTCAAAATCCTGAACTGACAAAGCAGTCCCGTTATAATGATTTACATCTCACAAGAGCTTTTCTGTTGCAAAGCCACCACTGATCCCCTCATCTGGGCCAGTCTAGCAGGTGCTGAGGCCCCAGCACCCACTCCCATTGCCCAAGCTGCTGTTCCAGTGATTCTCCACACAGCCATTCCCTGGGCAGGGGGAGGGCATGAGAGGGACACTGTGCCCTTGCTGAGGCACCAGGACCTGGCCTGGCACAGACCAGCACCTCCTCATGGCTGTGTCAGCCTTCTCTGATCAAAGGTAACAAACACCCAGTCCTGAGGTAGAAATGGACAGGTAAAGAAGGACCCACTGTGCCTATGTAAGCTCCTGATGGAAAACAAACTGCAGTTGGTTTTAACATTAGCAGATCTGATTTTTAAATGCACATAATCCACTCTTCTGGTCAGACATCACCAAGGTCTGCTTCCATTTAATAAAGGACTTGTTTTCTGAAGTGCCATTGCATATTCAAAGTGTAAGGTTTGTACAATTAACACACACAATGTACCACAAACCCAGACCCCATTCACATGGGAACACCTGTTCTCCAGGTTCTTTAAAAAAAGCCCTTCTGGGTCTCTGCTTCTTCACAGTAACTTTACATCAAACTAAAGAGTACTACAAAGAAAGCAAGCAAGAAAGAAAGAAAGAAACAAACAAACAAACATTTATCATTATTTGTTTATACCCTAAATCCATGTTTTCATTTTTTTTCTCTTTTGGGCAATAGCAAGTGTCTATGTTCAATAGCTCCTTTAATGTGCAGGGCTCCCAAAGGCTTTACAAACTGTAGAAGGTGACAGTTCACACTGAAAATAAGGCAAATGCTGCAATGAAACTCTGTCCCTTCAGTTGCAGTGGTTTCAAACAATGAAACAGAAAACACCTATTTTAGCTGCTTGAAGACTAGTGGGACAGTGGTTTTGAAGAACTAGTTTTGGCAATCTCACCTGCTTTCTCTTGTTTCCTGCACAGCAAACAGGACCCATCAGTGCCACCCTGGTGATGACCCGGCCCGTGAAGGGGCCGCGCACGATCGAGCTGGACTTGGAAATGATCACTGTAAACACCGTCATCAACTTCAGAGGCAGCTCTGTCATCCGGCTGAGGATATTTGTGTCACAGTACTCCTTCTAAACCTCCAGTCTGTGCCCTGGAAACACAGCCCAAAGAGACAGTTCCTCCTCTGCACAACTCTCTCCTGAAAAGCCAGTACTATAGAAGCTCCAGACCAAATCACCATTTCCACAGAGCCGTGACCTATGTGTGTCTAGAGGCCTCTTCATGCTCAGTCCAGAGCAGGATGCAAACAACTGAAGATCCCTTTTGATTGTCTGTGTGGTCATGTATTTTAAGGACTCTTCTTCTCGCTGTAAACACTTCTAGGGCATGAGTCTATGTGAAAGACTGTGAACCTTTGTAGCTCCAAGGCTGCTTAGCAGAAAGCACCAAAAAAACTGAGGGAAAAGCTGGCTTTTGCAATCTTGCCTTTTTAAAATTTTTTTTTTCATTATAAATGAAAAGCAGAAAAACAAGCAGAAACAGAAACAAAAAACCCACCTATTGAAACAAGGGACCTTAGGAGTCCCAGTTTGCATTCCCAATTATCTCTGGAATTATCAGTCAGGCACTTTGTTTCAATTCACCCTGCATTTGTCTTAGTTTCACCTGTTTTTTTTCATTCTATTTTATAGTTAAAATTAATTGTAAATTCATTCCAAAAAACATGTTGTACTATGTAATCTTTTGCTTTCTGACAAAATGTCACATGTTTGGGTTCCTTTCTGTATTAAATCTTTCTATATAACAGAGTTCATAGAAATCTATCACTGGATGGTGTGCTTTACAACATTTAGGATTTTATGCTTATTTAGACTCAGGATTTCTGACACAGGCCTCCACTGCCAGAATAGTATCCAGCATAAGTAGAGACTTTAGAGCAGATAAGGATCAGAATTTTATTTTTCCCTGTTTTCCTGAGTGTGATAGATGCAAACAGTGTGTAATGGCTACAAGGTAGTAATACTAACTCTGTAGGTATGGCTGAAATTAATCTCCTGTTCAAAGACCACTCAGGTCAGACCTGTCCGTATTCCTTCAGAAAATAATTTTTTTCCACTTGCAATCTCTCTCCTACACTTCTAACATGGAGGGAAAAAAGCTGAAAAGGACTAGGAGCAGTCTTATTCATGCAGACCAGAGTATACCAGTACCCCAATCTCAAACAGTGGGCTCCCACAGTTTTCATGGGCATTGTCTTCTCAGGTATAACTGCTGTAGCCAAAAAAAAAAAAGTTTCTTCTAAAGTCTAATCTGAATCTCCATTGTAATCTTCTTCTAAAGTCTAATCTGAATCTCCACTGTAATCTGTTGCTTTTTAGCCTACTTCCAGTAGAAATTGAGAACAGTTTATCTTCCCCTTTGCAGTAGTCTAACATGTCTGAAGACTGTTGTCATGTCTCCCCTCAGACTGTTCTTCTCTAGTCTAAACAAATCCAATTCTTTTGGTCTTTCCTCATACATCACATTTTCTGGGCCTTTGATCATTCTTGTTGCTCTCATCTGGATTCTCTCCAGTTGGTTCACATCTTTTTTGAAGCACAGTGCCCAAAACTGTGAAAAGAATTCCAGCTGAGGCCTCTCAGTGCTAAGCTAAATCTATACATATGTTTAATAGTTTGAAAAAAAATTAAAAATTGTATAGTTGGAAGGTATAATGTGTGTTGAAGCCACTGGCACTTTGGTCTTTTATTTTAATAGGGATAAGGGTTTATATTCCTTGTTCTTAAATCTGTTTGAAACAAGGTCTTTTACTTTGCTTTTCCTTACTGGCTTTTTGGCTCTCTAGCATTGCTAGGACAGGAAGGATAGCCTTTGCTTGTCTTTTCAGAACTGGAAGTGCTCAGTGCTACTTGGGAGAGGTTTACAAAGATTAAAATGTGAGCAACTCAGAGCAGAGTAGCAATGTGAGGTCTTCATTAAAGTGGAGTATTAAATGGGAGAATACAGACTTGGAAAGTTATTACAACATAGACTGCATGATACAATCAGAAAACTGACTCTTGTTCCTAGTAAGATTTGTGAATTAGTAGAAACTCTGCTCTTTTTCCTTGTACTCAGCTTGAAGGAAGCCCTGATGCTCTCAGCAATGAAACACAGTTTAGCAGCTTCCGTTTCTTAATGGTTTAAAGGTTTTCTCTCTGCTGCTACAACATCCCAGGATGCTGTGGCTCAGAGCTCTGTCCTTTATTGTAAAAACAAAAAGCCTGGGGACTGACTCCAGGGTTTAGCGAGCCAAGCTGAAGGCAGAAAGCCAATGAGTTTTATGATCAGCCGACTTGGAGGAGAAAAATGCAGAGGAAATGGGCAGAGAAATATCAGAAACAAGAATTTGTTTCCTGAGTGTATCATGGCTCATCAAGTACCACAGTCTTGGAGGGAAAAATAGAGATGACTGGGAAGGAAGAATCATAATTTATAACCATGGGACTGAAAGTGCTCCTGCTCCAGACGATGGAAATAAAACATGGGAAGCATGCAGGCTCTGGTGGACCAGACAGCAGCCGTGGGGCAGGCAGGGTCTTGCACTGAAAATGTCCAACTCTTAAAATGCTGACAGCTTTCCCAGTGTTTAAAATCCCCTCTGCCCCCTTTTTGTGCCCTTATGTTATGGCTCCTTCATGCCCAGTTGAGGAGTCCTCTTTTCCTGCCACCACATCACCTCCTGGAGTGGAAGCACACCCTGCTAGACATCAGACAGTTTGTCACTTCTGGCCTGCTCTCCCATGGCCCCCACATACCAACCTGATTTAACCCTAATTTAGAAACATCAAAACCCAGAGGAATTCCATAACAAAACACTTTGTTAAAAGAGTAAAGCTTGAGTGCTTGGTTTTAGCAGGGTCCAGCAAATACTCATAAAACAATATTACACTTTCTATATAAACATTCTGAGCCTTAAAAAAAAGTGAAAAGTCTGGAAACAAAGGAATTCAGCCACTTCTCAACCGCCATAACATCTTTCATCACTCACTATCACTCCAGCCAACTTAAACTTTGCCAAAATATATGCCAATCTCAAAATAATAAATTACTAGCAGTTTATAACATCTAAACTCTCTATTTCCTAGTCAGGGGTCTGTTTTCAATAGACCACTGCAGACTCAAATATTACAGCAATTCTCACCAAATAAAAAAAGCAGACTACGCATGTCAGGCTTTTACAGCATGAAAGCTAAAAATGTAAACATGCAACTGTTTCATATATTCATGTTCCTCTTTGAGGCCAGGACTCCTCAAAGTAGACAGAATTCCAGGTCTGTTCAGAAAATGATTCTTTCTTCTAATCCACTGCTGATGATTTTCTACCATGAAGAGTTTTGCCGTATGGTTAACGGCCAGCATTGTGAGCAGCACCAAGGGAGAGCACAGACCCTGCTCTGGGTGTGTGGGGCTCCCTCTGGCTCTGCTTGCTCAGGCTGGCAGGGAAGGGACAGCTCTGCCTCTCCTGCCAGTCAGCTGCCATGTCTGCTTGAACAGGTTCTCAGCAGCAAAACTGCCCTCCACTGTGTGTACAGCCCCTATTAGCAATGCAATAACTGGAATAAAGGTAAAACACAGCAGATATGGCAGTAATCTTTGATACAGATCACAGTAATTGGGAAGGAGAAGCTGTTTTGATAAATGAAAAAAAATGGTTCATGCTAGTTGGGTTAGGTGCCAGAGGGAGGAGAATGAATCCAATCATCTGCTTATTTGACTTTGTGATATTTTTAAGGAATTGACTTTTTTGACACAGACAACAAAATGTTATTTCACCCAAGAGTTTCCTGGATCTCACAGAATCGCTTTTCAACTGATGATTTTCACTGACTACAATAACTTTGTTTAAAAAACTCAACTTCTTTTGAGAACCTGGTCACCCACCACCACTGTGTCATATCCAGGGCCATTCATACAAGCTCTCTCCTCTTCAGTTGGAGTCCTGTATTCATATTTACTTTTTTTTTTTTTTTTACTTAGCCTTCAGAAGAGCCAACTTTTATTGTCTCATAAACATGGTATCAGCATCATCAGAACTTGTATAATAATTTTTCTCTGCCTAGAGCTGGCAGAACAATACAATCAGTACAATTTGTGGTCATGCAAGTTCTCCAGTCTGGCTTATTCACATAATATGCTACTGAATATCTTCCACAGCATGCAGCTGTATTGGAGCATAAGGGAAATATCATAAAGATGTTAAAAAAAAAAAAAAGGAATAAAAGTATGCCCTAATGTTATTCAATCCTGACAAGCACAATTGTCAAAATAAATCTCTATCCTCTATGGACAAACCCCTCAGGTGGTGTCAATCTGCATGACTGATGCTTTTCAATGAAAAGATAAGAAGCAGCCTTGGAATCTTCCCTGTCTTTGTGTAAAGCACTGTACATGTATCTGTATACAGGAGAATTTACAGAAGCTACAGAAGTGGTGGTGTGGCTCTGCATGGGGAAGTCAGAGAGCTCTAAGGCAACATGGCACAAGCAAATTCTGTTTCCTCATCTGACACAAGTCCAGACAAGTGTTTTACATTTTGTTGTTGTACCCATTACATTTTGTTGTTGTAAGTCTTTGAACCAATTTTGAATAGCTCAACCCCAAAGCAGGTGCCATGCATGAAGACTGAGGATGATGGCCATAATTAGAATTTTGGAGACTCTGCAGAAAGCCTGCCTCAGAAAGGTGACATGTGCCAAAGGGTCAGTGCCACATGGTCCAGAGGCATTTGTGTGGGGATGTCTGTGACAGCTGCCTGCCCTCTGCACCTGGCCCTGTCCTCACCTGTGTCAGTGCAGAATGTAACTGGAGTTTTTGACTGTGCACATCAGCTGTGGAAATCTCACCTAGTCCCATTCTTAGCTCAAGCTTCTGAGATCCCTCTAGTGGTTTGCAAACTGATCCCCCTGGGTAACTCAACAAATACTGGTGAAGCCACACGAGGGAGAGTTTGGGTACAGCTTTTACACCAGGAGGTAAATAATGATGCATAACCTCACTGAAAGAATTGAGGAATGTATCTGAGTAAAAAAGGGATCTGTAGGAAACATTACAGGAATTACTAACTCCTGAAATATTCAATCTCTTCCAAATCCCTTTCCCATATCCCTGAGGTCACTCATTTTCCCTTTCTGGTTTGTCCTGGACAAATGATCTCATTATGCTCATGCACTGCAAGCACATGCTGAGTGAACTCCACTTCTTCTCTGGCACTTAACACTTGCTTTTTGGAGATCAGTTGTAGGCTATTTGCCTTTCCTAGGGCCTGACTGACCTCAAATACTCTGCTCATACCCAGGGAAGATCCATTATTTTCCTACCATGTTATTCTGCAGCCACCACCTGGTCAAGTTTTCCATGTTTCACTGGAGATGCAGGCACTGCCATGTTCTAAGCACTCTTACAGCAAAGTATGAGCTGGGAATGGCTGAAGGGATTGCCCAGCCTGCTGGTAGAGCCTGGCTTTATGAACAGGATTTTAAAAACCCCACAACTCCTCAGTTTTGAAGGTGATGCTCTTCTAAGTACGGATTTTCTCTGGAAATGGCATCTGTTATTGTGTTGGCTTGATAGTCTCAGGGTGTTTTAAGAAGTCTGATAAGGACATGCTTATGGAATACACCCTTAGGCTTTACAAACCTTGGATGAGGTTTTTCCAATTTGCAAACAGAGTGTGTAGCCCAAGTCAGAGAGAGTTCAACGTGCTCATCACTGAGCTGAAGTCAGTGATCACTAAACTCACCTCAAGTCTGGATTTAGCCCAGTTTTATTTTAAATCTCAAATCTCAGTGGTATAAATGTAAGCAGATATGTATTATTTTTAGAGTAGAGCTGAAAGCCTCCTTCCTGTGAATAAATAATAGTATGATTGCAGTATCTCTGTCTTTGTGGGCACTATCTTTGGGTTCTTTGTCATTTCCTGAGAAAACCTTTAACCTTCAAAATCTCTGCTGGTATTTCAAGACATTCGTTGATGCATTTCCATGAATGATTCCTCACTCCTGCTATTCAAAGGCCAGCCCAGGCACTAGATTCTGTTTTGTTAAAACATGAAGCTCTGCATAAAACCCAAGCCTCTGCATAAAATCCAAGCCTCTGCACAAAGCCCAAGCCTCTGCATAGTCACATCATTGACAGGAATTGTTCCTCTCTGTAACCTATGAGGGATTTTGTTGACTTCCTTGAGAGTGCTCCATGCATGCATTTGTCCAAACTGGGACCTTAGTCTGGAGATTGTTCATCAGCAACTTTCTGCATGTGTTCTCCAACCAACATGTGGAACCATAGCTACAAAGGTTAGTTTTTGACAAAAATCTTCAAAGCATGGTGTTTCTTGGCTGCCTACATATAATGCAAACGCAATTCAAAAATCCAGGACCAGAGTTCCCCAATCTTCATGAGAAATTCCTGTTTTTCAGAAACATTTCGGTCAGTAAACTTGCTTTGTAGATTATGTGAAATGCAAACAAAGGGGAAGAAGGCCTGCCAAGATGACACAGATTTGTTATTAAAATCAGTATCCCCAGGAATATTGGAATATAATTCATCATTTAAAAATATTCCTTTGGACCCTGACATCTGATGCCATTCAAGCAGAGCAGGGGGACAGAAAAACTGACTGCTTCCCAAACAACAGCAGCTGCTCAACAGAGATCCCTGGGCTCCTACAGTGACCAGAAACCTTCTGGCCCAAGTCTACATACCAGGTCAGTGAGGAACAAACAAAGCTCATAGAGACATAGAGCTGAAGGAGAAGTAAGTGCACTGACTTCTGAATGATATCAAGTGCAGATTTACATCATAATGTCTATAAAATTTCTCACTGCATTTATACATCTTGTATAAATGCAAAATTTAAAATTACCAAAATTAAAAGGACCGAACTGTTACCTACCACACACATAATACAGGCAGGAAGCTCTAGTGTATCCCTCTACCTTTCCTCAGGATTGTGCTCACTTGGAATTACCCAGCCCGATTTGGTGCAAGTTAACAGTGGTGTGACAGCATTTGGTTCACAGCAGTGTAGTCACATCCATGGATACAGGAGAGTTACAGAGGGATACCATTACAATTGAACCAGAAAGTTAATAAAAAAGAGCTTGCTGATTAGTTAACCTTCAGTGCTTTGGTTATGAAGTCATTGACATGGACAAAAATATTCGACCAGAAACACAAAATATTAAAAAGGAGATTATCTCCTTAGAAACATAAGTACCCATGCAGCCTATAAATAGCTCTGAAATTAAGACATCCCAGACAACATCTGTAAAAGGAAGAATTCACTCCTTGACCTTGTCTCCCACAGCAGGATTAAGCATAGTTGATCCATATCAGGATCCAGACACAATGGCTGTTTGATGGTTGAGCCAAGAAAGAGGCAGGCATGGCCAGAGGCAAGGGGGAGCCACACTAAGATAATGTAAAAATCCTAAAGAATGTTCTCGGTGTGCAGGATCTCTGAGACAGATCTCTCTTGCTGTATGAAACATTTTAGCTTGGGAAGTACAAACAGCCACTTCAATAAAAAATAAAGGAATAAAGAATTCAGTTAAAAGGGGTGGCAAGGCATGGGGGAAGATGGCAGCATACATGTGTTTGGATGCAGAATCAGTTGACAAAAAAAAGATGCCCTGGCCAGTCTGTCACCCAATGAGATGCACTGGATACCAGAAGCCTCTAAGTACAATTTTAGGTGTAGCACATTTAGTATCACCTTATTCCAAGAGTTTATTATTATTTAGTATCAACTTATTCCTGCAGCCAGTAGAGATGGAAGGAGAAGGACTCACTGCCCAGCTCAAAGGATGCTCCTTAGTGTTGTTGCTGAAACAGTCTTTTCCCTAACTCTGACTTGCAACCTGTCTGGATTAATAAACATCTTATATTTTGAAGTGTTCTTTCCTTCTTTTTTTTTTTTAAGAATAATTTTTTACTGTAATTTTAAAAAGATAGTTTCAATGCCCCTCATCCTGTCCCTTTAGCCTTTAACCACTACTTCATTTCTAGCAGAAAATGAGCTTTTAAGGCTTGTATTGTTCTCCAGCTCATGAACAATTTGCATTGAATACACCAATAGGGACTATTTTAAAGGGGTTTTTTTGAAAAAAAAAAAAAAGTTGTTAACAAAAATTATAATTTAATTCTAGTTTATTTTGATCATTAACTGGTTTAGAGGTGTTCATACAAGACATCTGCAAGTAGGCATGACAGAATTACGTAGCCTGTTTGGAAAGCAAGGTGAATGAGGATCAGTGATACTGGTACACCTACCAGTCATAAACACTAGTAACATACAGGGAATAGTAGAGAAAACTTCAAAGCAAAATACAATTAATTTTCCAGAGGCTAATTTTCTTTCACAATTTTAATGTTGTACAGTTGTCCATAACTGGAGGTACCTGTGTGTATTTTACCTTCATTTCCTGGTGGGTTTATGTGTGATAAGGCTCAAATGAACATTTTGTGTAATACTACTTTATCTGTACTAGGAGCTTGACGTATCTGAGGCATTTCTTCCCCCTGCAATTTCACTGAAGGATGGAGAAGGTCACTGCTTCTGAGGGTGGGGATGGCTCCCCTGCCCAGTTCCCCTCAAGCCCCAGCCATGCTCTATCCACCACATTTGGAGGGTGTACAGGAGGGTGTGCAGGCTGCATGCCTTGGAAGCATTCCCAGAGAATCCCAGGAGATGAGCTCTCTTCCCAGCCTGACATGCTGCCATACCCCTCTCCCAGTTGTCCTGGCTCTTTGGAGCCAGTGAAGGCAGGGGTTTATACAGTGACCGTGAAGCTGTGGCCAGGGTTTGGCTTCCAACTGGCAGAATAAGCTTGTCTCCATAACAAGTAGTGTTAATATGTGGGGGGATAGAATATAAGAAAATAAAGATAGTGCAGAAGGTAATCTCACACCTGAGGAGTTGCAGTTGCACTAATCACCAAAGACTAGGAACAGGCCTACCCTTAATAGGCCACAGCTGTGTCCAACAAGAAGAAGAGGGCTACAAAAGAGTGGGTTGAGGAGAGGATTGGAGTTTGTTGGCTGTGCTGTGAGGAAGAAGGAGTCAGTGCTGCAAGGAGCTAAACAATGAGAAATCAATGAGAAGGTATGGGAAGTTCACAATAAGATGACAACATTAATATAAGATAATTTAGACTGAACTGGTTTTCTCATATATAAATCATTAACCAGTGGCTAGTTCTCACTCCTAACTGCACTATGTTTCTTATGACTTCAGTACAACAAAGGCTTTTCCACCCACATGATACTCCATGACCCATGCCTAATGAGGCTTGACTTTGTTGCTTGGGTTTGTGTTTTGCAGGCGGAATGTTCTTATTTCAGCAATTTGCAAGGACAGCCAAAACTGGCTCTGGTTTGCTTTGTGAAGAGTGAAGGAACTTAGGTCACACCGTTGCTCTCTCACATTCTCATCACTCAAATAACTCATTGCAAAGTGAGGTAGGTCATTGACTGGGCTTGTGATGATTTACAGGGCTCTCTGAAAGCTG